TATATTTCTCATCCAACCACAATTGAGTTTACTCTATCCAGGAGCCACAATTTTTCAGGATAGTATTTTTAAACAATAACAAGCCAGAATGAAATAGGAGAAATGACAGCATCACTGCTCCCACTGAGTGCAATGTTCTTCACATAGGTGAGTTTGAAATACACACATTATAGGTGAATCAATATGTCACTTCTAGTGTGTGGCCCGGCCCTTTGTTTATTTTTCTGTATTTGGCCCTCACTAAAAAAAAGTTTGGACACCCCTGTTCTACTTCTTACCTTTTTGAGAAATGTGAGGAGTAGAAAGTACAGATAATTGTGTAAAAATGTAAGGAGTAGAAGTAAAAAGTAGGCTGAAAAATAATTACTCAAGTAAAGTACAGATACCCCAAAATTCTACCTAAGTACAGTAAAAAAGTATTTGTACTTAGTTACTTTACGACTCTGATTCTCATGATATTACTAGTAGTCACTGGACATGTAAGTAAATGAGAGAATGACCAAGAAACAGATCCTCAGCAAATTGACATGTAAGAAGAAAAAACTGGKTTTTTTTCTGCGCCACCCTTGTGTGTCAGTGGTCACAGCCTGACCACTCCTATTAAAATAGTTTTACTCCAGCACTGGTTGTATCCTAGCTCAGAATATTCTCCTGAAACCTGGTAGGGTCTTTTTGTTCATAGCTCCTGCATAAAACACATTATGTGTACGAACAAAAAGCTTTCACAGCGACTGTTCGAGACTTACTTTCTAGTCTGTGTTTCTGCCTGCTTGTTTCATTAGGAGACTTGAGTGAGCGACAGACACGGATGGCAGCAGTTTTACAATCTCCTTCGATCCTGATCTATTTTTTTACATTTCAGACGTAAAAAGTCGACATTTTGTGAGTTCAGATTGTAAATAGCCCAAATAATCACTGAGCTTCAGAGAAGAGCGCTTGATGGATGCCAGAATTCCAGGTGGTAAAGGCAGAAAATGCCAAACTTGTGAAGGTGCAGGCTGAGGTCAGAGGGATACAAACAAAGCTTCCTTTGAATGTCGAACAGGATGCAGAGATAAGACGTCGCCGTCTGTGGAGTTTTCAGATTTGTGCAAATACCCGTCTGCTCTGAACGCCAACAAGAAATGCAACAATCTAATCTCCTCACCAGGGAAAGAAAAAAAGAAGAAGATTGGGGGTGAAAAAAAAGAGACGAGAAGAGAAGAGAAGAGAAGAGTGCACGACAGGCCTGACATGAATAGAAGAAACCCATCCACAACAGACCAGCACACAAAAGCCTGGCTCATGTAGACCGGGGGGGGGCCGGCGGCTGCTGGGAGCTGAGCATGCAGCGCAGCAGACAGGCGGCGGGCCCACCCAGACCACCTCTGATGAGAAGCTCTGCTCTGGAGAGGAGCACGGCACGAACAAAAGGTTTAAGAGCGACAAAGCAACACCCTTCGCTGTCTAAATACGACTGAGCAAATACACGTTACGAAATCCATTGAAGATTCCAAATTCGAGATCCCCCACCACCACCCCCCTCTCTGTGGCAGACAGGTGCATTTTCCTCTGCCTGACGAGAATATTACACATTCATGTAAGCAAGAGAATTTACAATCAAACGAGCCTCCATTATGTCAGGAATGCAGGTTAGTTAGTGGTTTAGTCAAACTRACGTGATTGTTATTTTAGTTGTAAAATCAACAGGTTTGAGATTCTGAAGCAACAGTAGCACTGAACAGGRACAATGCAGGCAACTTGATGCATGTGGTGCAGCACTGGTCCACCCATAATGTGTGTGTGTGTGCAGTTGAGCATGGAGAATGGAAGAAAGGAGTTTGAACAGTTGAGAGAAAGGGCTTTAGGCGCCCAGAGGAGGAGGAGGAGGAGGAGGGAGGCAACAGACAACTGGGAGAAACTCAGACAAGAGAGGAGAGTGACTTGCAAGAGGTGACATCATCCTTAATTTGATTAATTCTCCAGACCGTGAGGTGATTGGCTGTTCGCAGAGAGAGGGGGGAAAAGGGGTACTCCTGCTATTCACTCCCTTTTCAATTTTGCCATGGCGCGCTGTCTGCTAAATGCTGCGTTCAAGGACTCGTAGAGAACTCCAGTTTTTTGGGGCAGAAAAAAAAGGAACCTGTTGGAAATGTTTTTGCTCCATGCCAAAATGCAAATTTTTTTTAAATAAATTTGATTTCAACATTTATATTTTTGGAGTATGTATGTATGTATGTATGTATGTATGTATGTATGTATGTATGT